TCACTGCAGCCTCGACCTCCTGGACTCAAGTGATCCTCCCACCTCAGCCTCCCAAGTAGCTGGGAGCATAGGCATGTGCCATCATGCATGGTTAATTTTTTATTTTTTGTAGAGACAGGGGTCTCACTATGTTGCCCAGGCTGGTCTCCAACTCCTAGGCTCAAGCAATCCTCCCTCCTCAGCCTCCCAAAGTGCTGTGATTACACGTGTAAGCCACTGCACCTGGCCAAAAGAAGTGACTTTAAAGCAGAGTCTTGAAAACACAGCAGGATTTCAGGAAAAATAAATAGCAAATGGAAGTAATTGAAGTTTATAATTGATTGGCTAGTGTTTTTGTGGACCTATACATACTTTATTGTTGCTGGAACCTAAAGTTCCAAGGAGGAAGTGGAAGGTGATAAGGCAAGAGAGATAGACAGAGGCCAGTTTATAAACAGCCATATAGGATGTGCTTCTAGGGAGTTTGATGTTTATCCTATAGGCCATGAAAAACTAATGAAGGACTTTAGAAGGGAGGTAATATGCCCTTACTTGCATTTTGAAAGGTTTGTTCTTTCTAAGGCTATAGCAGCGGAGATACAAATGAGGGGACAGCTTTGAGAGCTATCAGGACATGCCTGGTCTTCTTTTAGCAAAAGTAAAATGACAGGGTCATCATTCTTTATATAAATCATTGGTTTCAAAAATTTCTACAGGCCAGGTGCAGTGGCCCATGCTTGTAATCCCAGCACTTTGGGAGGCCAAGGCAGACGGATCACTTGAGCTTAGGAGTTTGAGACCAGCTTGGGCAACATAGGGAGACCCCCATCTCTACAAAAAATATAAAAATTAACCGGTGTAGGGGTATATCCTTGTAGGCCCAGCTACTCAGGAGGCTGAGATGGGAGGATTGGCAGATCTGGGAGGTCAAGGCTGAAGTGAGCCATGATTGTGCCACTGCACTCCACCCGGCATGACAGAATAAGACCTTGTCTCAAAAAAATAGAAGAAGAAAAAAAGAAAGTCTATGCTTTTAAACATTCCCTCCACACTTATAAACCATAGAACCTGATTTAGAACTTTCATATCTCACTTCGAATCTCTTTAATGTTTTTGTTTTCAACCCACAACACAGCCAGTTGAGAAGATCTATTTGATCTCCATCTTCAAAAACTTAATTCTAATAAGTAAGATTTTTTTAGCCTCAGTAATACACTGGCAAATGCTGAACAACCAGCTCTTCTGGAGGAGGAAACCCTGATTGGTATTGTTTTCCAGTTTCTGTAGTGTAAATACTCCTGTCGTAACTGTTTTCAAGCTACTAATGTGACATCACTGAGCAGGAGTTGAGAAGACGAGCAATATTACATTATTAGATAGAATTCCCATGTTACAGACACAATAGAGGTGAACAACTCAAGAGCATAGACAGTAATATACAGTAAAATAATTAGGAAATGGTGAGGTTTGAGTACATATTACCTTTGTTTTTAATATAATGTACTTGATTGTAAGTCTATATAATCTAATTTTTAGTAATAGCTGTATTTAATAACCACCAAAATTCTTTTTTTTAAAATACTAGTTCTAGGGTACATGTACACAACATACAGGTTTGTTACATAGGTATACATGTGCCATGTTGGTTTGTTGCACCCATTAACTCATCATTTACATTAGGTGTTTCTCCTAATGTTATCCCTCTCGCTCCTGGCCACCCTACCACAGGCCCCGGGGTGCGATGTTCCCCGCCCTGTGTCCAAGTGTTCTCATTGTTCAATTCCCACCTATGAGTGAGAACATGTGGTGTTTAATAACCACCAAAATTCTTAAAAGTAGTCAGTGCTTGGGAGTCAATGCAAGCTTGCTCAAGGCATCACTGCACATACTCCTCTTTTCTAAATAATTGAAATGATATTTATTAATCCAATTTTCACTATTTAATTCTCATACATAAAGTAGAAAAATCTGTAGGCAAAGCACTGGAGAAAAGGTAATACCACCTGAGGAGTGGTATGATGTATAAAAATAAATGATAAACTCATTAAGGGTTTTAAAATCTACTCTGTTTTGCATACTTATCATTATGTGAGTATATTGAAATAACGTAAAAGATAATCAGTTTCATTTTTAGTATTGATCAAAATTATAAGCCGTAGATTTTAGTTTTAACTTTAGCTAGCTAGCTCATAAATAGTAAATTATGTAAGTAAAAAATGAAATTATTTAAGACCTGCATAAACTATGACTGTGTGAGTGCTAGAGTGCAACATTATCTATCAAATGCCTTCAAAATGTACTTTCTGTTAAAACATCTCTGAAAGGAAAACAGAAAAGCCACAGCAACTTTTGATGAATTATCTGAAAGAGTGCACATAACATCCCACCAAGAAACAACGGCAGATCCCCATTAGGGCAAAAAAGGCAGTTGGAAGTATGTGGGTTCACATCTGAGCAGATGCGTCCCAAACTACAAATGTCTGAGCTACAGCCAGAGAGAACACACTGACATATGCTGTAGCTTGTCCCTCTTCTACCACCATAGGAAAAAAAAGAACTGCCAAAGATCCCACTCAGACTTCTCAATTCTCCAGAATTGATGCCATGGGAAAACCAGGAGGTAATGTGGGAGTGGGAACCAGACAGAGCTGGGTGGAATCCTGGTTTTGCCTCATACCAATTGCTTGTTTTGGGGGGCAAGTCACTTAAGTTCTTTGAACCTCAGTTTCCCAAAATATAAATAGGAGAAGGGAATATCTTATCAAGTGCTATTGAAGACATACAAAGTACTTCACATAACAAGTGGTAGACAGATGTTATGAAAACACAATCACACAACAACAATAAAACCACCTTGGGATGTATGAAGATGGTTTTCCTTTTTTCCTGCCCACCCAGGCATCATTAGCTGCTTTGAAGATAGCAAAGAAGGTTTCTAGGCTGTTAGATTAGCTCTTCTGGTTTTATTCTTAATATGACTCAGGTTAGAGAATCTTCTCTTTATCTCTTTCTTTCCTTCCTCCTCTTATTCAACAAATATTTTTTACTGTGTCAGAAACTGTGCTAAGCTCTAAGCACACAATGTTCAGGAAGAATAGTAACAGGCATAGTAGAAGTGGTAACAACAATAGCTAACTTTTATTAAGCACTAACTGTTGAATAAAAGACATCTAGGCCAGGCGCAGTGGTTCACGCCTGTAATCCCAGCATTTTGGGAGGCCAAGGCGGGCAGATCATGAGGTCATAAGTTCGAGACCAGCCAGGCCAATGTGGTGAAACCCTGTCTCCACTAAAGATACAAAAAATTAGCCAGGTGTGGTGGCATGTACCTGTAATCCCAGCTACTCAGGAGGCTGAGGCAGGAGAATTGCTTGAACCTGGGAGGTGGAAATTGCAGTGAGCCGAGATCATGCCATGCACTCCCGCCTGGATGACAGGGTGAGACTCCAACTCAAAAAAAAAAAAAAAAGACATCCATGTCTGCCTTTACCTAATTGACAGTCTGGTATAGGGAAACATATTTACATAATCGCTCAAGACCAGAAATTTCGCATGTGACATATTTTTCTCAGTTTTTTTGATACAGGACACTAAGGCTGTATGAAACCTAAATGCTGGTAAACCAATTTGGAACCAAAGCTCAATACTAAGAAGTTAAATTAAAATTATTCTTTACTTTCTGCTGAATAATTTTGCTTAAATGTTTTTGGGGGCAAAATACAAAACCTATACTGAATAGAATTGGTGAAAAATATGTGGTTAGAGAAAGGGAGTAAGAATATTACAGATAAGTGATTCAGGAATAATTAGGATATAATTAATTGAAAGTTAATAATACAATTGCAAGGTAGGGTTTGGGCTTTTTAACCTATAAAACAATTTGGATTCCTGAAATCAGCTGTCACCTAAGATAGGCAATGGACGTTTTCTTTTTAAACTTTGCGTTTGTTCCTAATCTTCCCACTTTCCACCCAGTGACAACAAATTTTGTCTCAGTGACTGATTCCCAGCCTGGGATCTACAAGTGTGGTAATGGAAGTCTGCAGGCCATTTAATAGTTGAAAAACACCAACAGGTTTAAATTTACCTGCAATAAGGCTACACAAACTAATTCAAATGTTATATTTCTCTGCTTTCATGAGAAATTGCATCAAGTTATTGCAGGAACTAGTTATCTTAGGCAGATTAGCTATTGATGGCATCATGGAATTTGTTGATGAAATATCGTTTTAAAAGATGGGGCCCATGTTGCGGGAGGTATTGTAATAAGAGGTCTCTGGTTCTGAAAAGCTTAGGCTCCCTAGTTTAGTTAAGAAATATGTTATGGCGGGGACTGGTGGCTCATGCCTGTAGCCCCAGTACTTGGGAAGGCTGACGCAGGAGGACTGCTTGAGCCCAAGAGTTAGAGCCTGGGCAGCATAGTGAGACCTCATCTCAAAACGAAAACAAAAACAAAAAAAAAAGTGTATTATGTTGAAAACAAAAAGAACTTGGCTAGTTAATCCAGCAGTATTCTGCAGGAATAATTTATGAGGGAAAAAAACGCAAATTTCCATATTAATGTACATTTCCCTAGAGAGAATAGAGTGTTTTACAAACACATTTGTATCTCAAAAATGCATGTAGTTCCATAAAAGACCATTTTAACAGCCTTTATATTTTGTAAGGGATGTTATTACTAGGTGTTATATCTTGGACTTCTGGAGATCACATGGAAAAGTTAGAATTGCATTGTGACTTTAACTTTCATTCAGGGTTTCAATGGACATTAAAAAGGCAAAACACTTAGTGTTCAGCCTCTTTTTTGGTGCGTTTTTCTATTCTTAAGGTGTGTCTCACATGAGATGTTCTTAAATTGTCCACTGGAATCTCAGTCTTTTATATTACACATCTGCAGAAGCCAAAAATAATTTGACGCATGACTTTTCCCCCCAGAGTTTCTTATTATATTTACTGGTAAACTATTTTGGTAACTTATATTAACAGTTATAAAGATTAATATGTAATATGTTCTCATACAGAATTATGAAATTTCATGTTGCAAAACGGAAGTTTAAGGAAACATTACGTCCATATGATGTAAAAGATGTCATTGAACAATATTCTGCTGGTCATCTGGACATGTTGTGTAGAATCAAAAGCCTTCAAACACGGTAAGCAAAGAAAATGTCATTCCTTGTAAAGGAATGGGCATAGAAACTATCTAGGAAGAACTTCTCTTTAGTAGAGTAAACCTCTGAACTCCATATTTTTAGTTCATTTTTAGTGGGCAAATGGAATTTGCTTTTAACATTGATTTTATTTTGCTTTTAACATAGATATAACTCAGGCATTCAAAGCATCCAACTGTCTCATTTTCCTCATCTGTAAAAATGGAAAGAAAGTTAGTTCTTGCCTCATAGGGTTGTCATGAGGATTGAATGAGTTAATGCATGTAATTCATAACATGTAACAGACCTGGCATTGTGTCTAATAAACATCAATGGTTGTTACTGATGTTTGAATTATTACTGCTGCTCCTAAATTATCTAAATTCCATTTATTATCTAAATTCTAATCGTCCTTTGGGAATAACGTAGTATGTGTCCTTCATTAAGTTTCATCCAACCATCCAACCTGTGAAGACAGGCCTTTCTCTGACCTTTATACAGTAATAGAGTCTACTGCAGAGCACAAGAGCACTCAGAATCTTGGTGTGCTGGGCCAAAGTTGAGACTTGGCCCTTGTGTTGTTTCCCGGTCACAAGTGTGTTCACCTTGCTGTGGGCTAAGATTGAGCTCTTTCCTTCATTCATGTCCTGTATGGCTCTAGATATATAGTATCCTCCTAGTAGCATCTTATTGAGTGATTAAAAGAAATGAATTCCATATATTAATTCCAACCACATATAGTTGATTGTGATTATCTCAAAGCCAAAATACTTAGTAAGTTCAGTTTTTGAAGAGCCTTGCTTTATTATCAGCACAAATCACCAGCATTTGTGATTGTATAGTGCCCAAAATGCAAGGACTGAGTCTTGAACTTTTTTTATGTCCCCACAGCACACTTAGCCCAGTGTGAGGCATAGAATGGGCCCTTAGTAAAATACCTGTTCATCAATTGCTATAGAAATAACAATTTGTTAATTCATTCAGCAGGTAATTATTGAGCCCATCGTGTGTGCCAGGACCTGTGGACGTCCAGAGACTGATAAAATAATGACCCAGACTTTGTAGTTTGCAGTTTAGTAGATTAGATGTCATGGCAGGAAGTGAGTACTGCCTATGTTTCTCTGCAGACAAAGTAAACTGGAAAATTGTCAATACTCTTGATAATTCAATTCTAAACACAAACAAAAAAAGAAGAAAGTGATTCTCATTTAGGCTGATCAAGTTTTCTTGGAAATTGCTTTAATTCATTCTGTAACATCTGTAACACGACCAGAGATTGTGGTCATATTACAATCTCTGCCTAGATGGCCATGGCCTTCTAAGTTCTTTAATAAAACTGTCTATGACTCCCAAGGTTTTATAAAGTTGAACTGCTACAGAATTTATAGAACCAATCTTGGGTTTCTAGCTCATGTATTTTCTCCAACTTGAATTCCAAAAGAAAAAGACCATAGCTTTCTTATCTGCTTATCTTTCACATAAGTATAATAAATGCTCAGAGACTAATCTGTTCTATTAATGTAAGATAACTATAGTTACGATTTTTGTCATATTTTGAAATGGTTAAATTCAGGAACTGCCTGATCAGAGATAGAAACATATTACTTTGTAGTTTAGGACACTTTTACTTCAGAAGATCACCCGTAAGTGATTTTATCTTGGACCAGAACAATGAGAAAATTAATCTCATGTGTAATCTCATGTTAAAACAAGCATATCAACTGGAAGAAGTTCTTTCTTATTTCATCTTACATGAATTGAAAATAACTGTTTTTAATTTTTTTTTCCAAAACTCTTCATTCTGGCCTAGGGCAATCTCCACCTTCAGCCCTCATAATCAGATCTCCTCTTTCTCTGATAGTGTTGATCAAATTCTTGGAAAAGGGCAAATCACATCAGATAAGAAGAGCCGAGAGAAAATAACAGCAGAACATGAGACCACAGATGATCTCAGTATGCTCGGTCGGGTGGTCAAGGTTGAAAAACAGGTACAACTCAACTACGCTGGGTAACTTTTTAGCCAGAATTTTTTAAATCAAAATGTATTGCCGGGCGCAGTGGCTCACGCCTGTAATCCCAGCACTTTGGGAGGCCGAGGCGGGCAGATCACGAGGTCAGGAGATCAAGACCATCCTGGCTAACACAGTGAAACCCCATCTCTACTAAAAATACAAAAAATTAGCCGGGCGTGGTGGTGCATGCCTGTATTCCCAGCTACTGGGAGGCTGAAGCAGGAGAATGGCGTGAACCCGAGAGGCGGAGCTTGCAGTGAGCCGAGATGGTGCCACTGCACTCTAGCCTGGGCGACAAAGCGAGACTCCGTCTCAAAAAGAAATAAAAATAAATAAATTTTATTATAGGCAATTGTATGTATTACAGTGATTATTTTAAAATAAATAAAATCACAAAATAGTGAATAAAATTAAATGTTCTTTCTGTGTAGATAGTGCTCTCTGAAATACTTTGGATTTCCATTTAAGGAATAGAAAATTTCATCTCATCAATTAATAGTTAATTGGAACCAACTGTAGATTTCCAATAGTTGAAAATTATTTAAAAATAACAAAGATCTATTCTTCATTTGTGTTTTGGTTGTTTTTATTGTTTCTTTTTTTGGGTCACTACTTTTCTCTTTTTTTTTTTTTTTTTTGAGAGAGTCTCACTCTATTGCCCAGGCTGGAGTGTAGTGGCGTGTTCTCGGCTCACTGCAACCTTCGCCTCCCAGGTTCAAGTGATTCTTGTGCCTCAGCCTCCCAAGTAGATGGGATTACAGGCATGTGCCACCACACCCGGCTAATTTTTGTATTTTTAGTAGAGACAGATTTCACCATGTTGGCCAGGCTTGTCTCAAACTCCTGACCTCAGGTGATCCACTTGCCTCGGCCTCCCAAAGTGCTGGGATTACAGGCAAGGGCCACAGCACTCATCAGGTCACTCCTTTTAAAAATAAAACAAGGCCGGGTGTGGTGGCTCATGCCTGTAATCCCAGCACTTTTGGAGGCCGAGGCAGGCAGATCACAAGGTCAGGAGTTCAAGACCAACCTGACCAATATGGTGAAACCCCGTCTCTACTAAAAATAAAATAAAATAAATAAAACCTTATTATAATTCTGATGACACATTGAATGTTTGTTAACCTCGAGTCTGTTGTATCTTCATATAAAAAGACAATTTTCCAGAAATCAAATGGCTCCCCCAATTTAATCGAAAATACTTCATGTATTAATTCTGGAGCATTTTGTACCTTTTTTTTTATATACCTTTAAATTCAGAATCACCTAGAGTGATACTTAACGTCTTGATTTCATTATAGAATAAGTTCCTTACTAGACTTCTGTAGTTTCAGAATGTCTTCATAGAGGAGACTTAGGAAAGACAATCTGGCGTGAATGGGAAGTCTTTTTTTTTCTTTTTCCAGACAGGGACTTCTGTGTCACCCAGGCTGGAGTGCAGTGGCACAATCATGGCTTACTGCAGCCTCTACCTCCTGGGCTCAGTCAATCCTCCCAATTCAGTCTTCCTAGTAGCTGGGACTACGGGCAAGCACCACCACACCTGGCTGATTTTTGTATTATTTTTGGTAGAGACGAGGTCTCGCCATGTTGCCCAGGCTGGTCTCAAACTCCTGGGCTCAAGTGATTCTCCTGCCTCAGTTTCCCAAAGTGCTGGCATTACAGGCATGAGCCACTGCACCCAGCCTGGAATGGAAAGTCTTAAAGTTGTATTTTTATAGTGCTTATATGACTTTTGAGAGGCACTATTTAAAGAAGTGGCGGCAGGAGAGATGCTAATAAAGACTATATAGAAGCCAAAGTGTCCCTATCTTCCTAAGTCCTCCTCTGACCCCATCATTGCTAAATGCTACATTCACTAAAGGTCAAGACTGCATCGTACTTTATGTTCAATATTTCTTTAAATGTGTTGGCACATTTAGAATTAAAAAATGAAGTCCATTCCTAATAACAGATTATACTCATGTGTAACCATTTTCCTCACTTCTAGGTACAGTCCATAGAGTCCAAGCTGGACTGCCTACTAGACATCTATCAACAGGTCCTTCGGAAAGGCTCTGCCTCAGCCCTCGCTTTGGCTTCATTCCAGATCCCACCTTTTGAATGTGAACAGACATCTGACTATCAAAGCCCCGTGGATAGCAAAGATCTTTCGGGTTCTACACAAAATAGTGGCTGCTTATCCAGATCAACTAGTGCCAACATCTCAAGAGGCCTGCAGTTCATTCTGACGCCAAATGAGTTCAGTGCCCAGACTTTCTACGCGCTTAGCCCTACTATGCACAGTCAAGCAACACAGGTGCCAATGAGCCAAAGCGATGGCTCAGCAGTGGCAGCCACCAATACCGTTGCAAACCAAATAAACACGGCACCCAAGCCAGCAGCCCCAACAACTTTACAGATCCCACCTCCTCTCCCAGCCATCAAGCATCTGCCCAGGCCAGAAACTCTGCACCCAAACCCTGCAGGCTTACAGGAAAGCATTTCTGACGTCACCACCTGCCTTGTTGCCTCCAAGGAAAATGTTCAGGTTGCACAGTCAAATCTCGCCAAGGACCGTTCTATGAGGAAAAGCTTTGACATGGGAGGAGAAACTCTGTTGTCTGTCTGTCCCATGGTGCCAAAGGACTTGGGCAAATCTTTGTCTGTGCAAAACCTGATCAGGTCAACCGAGGAACTGAATATACAACTTTCAGGGAGTGAGTCAAGTGGCTCCAGAGGCAGCCAAGATTTTTACCCCAAATGGAGGGAATCCAAATTGTTTATAACTGATGAAGAGGTGGGTCCTGAAGAGACAGAGACAGACACTTTTGATGCCGCACCGCAGCCTGCCAGGGAAGCTGCCTTCGCATCAGACTCTCTAAGGACTGGAAGGTCACGATCATCTCAGAGCATTTGTAAGGCAGGAGAAAGTACAGATGCCCTCAGCTTGCCTCATGTCAAACTGAAATAAGTTCTTCATTTTCTTTCCAGGCATAGCAGTTCCTTTAGCCATACATATCATTGCATGAACTATTTCGAAAGCCCTTCTAAAAAGTTGAAATTGCAAGAATCAGGAAGAACATGAAAGGCAGTTTATAAGCCCGTTATCTTTTAATTGCATGAAAATGCATGTTTAGGGATGGCTAAAATTCCAAGGTGCATCAACATTAACCCACTCATTTAGTAATGTACCTTGAGTTAAAAAGCCTGAGAAACCAAACACAGCTAATGCTATAGGGTGTATGAATATGTCAAGTTTAGGTCATTTAGAAGATTTGACACTGTATTTTGAAATTATGGGAGTAAACACCTTCAAATTTCAGGCATTTCTGCTTTGTGACTAAATACAAACTACATTTTCAAGATTAGGCCATAATGTATATTTAAACACAATAGCTATCAACAGCTGCTAATAAGGTATCAACTAAAGCAGAATTGGGGAACAATAGAAATGGCTGCTTATTCAAGATATATTTGCCAACCCGTTCCTATTCAGTCATTTTATTATTAATGTAATTTGAATGTCAATTTGTGTGCTTTTGGTGATTTAGCGCTGTGGCAAGCAATTTTGCACATCATTTTCATGTTGTTCTTTATGACAAGAATGTTCTTCAATTAGAAAATGTGCAAATAATGAAATTCAGGGCCAGTGGGGCAAATAGACTATCTGACATATTTGACTTTATGAAAACGTATTCCCTGATGGCAGAATCAACTTTATAAGTGGTCAACTTCTACACAAGCGTATGAAATACTGGTCAGTAGAACAGCCATTGTGATTGGACTGGTTTCTCTGCAGTGGCGCCAACCCCAGGCTTGCCAGTACTGCCCATGTAAAGGGCAAGTGTGAGAAGCTATTCTCATTTTGCTGACATACAGGTAGGACCCTGGGGGACAGGACATTTGAGTGGGACTGAGATAGGAAAGGCTTGAAAAGAATCCAGAAACACCACCAGGAAGTTGGCAAAGTAAAAGAAAATGACTTCCCCCTCAAAGGGCATGAGAGGGAGAGAAACAAACCAAAATAGAAGAACTAGACTTTTTAGAAAATGAGTATTGCTAGGGAATTCAACTACCTAATCTTCCCTTATTCTTATATATAAGCAGAGAATTTTTGCAAGGTATTTATTTTTTAATATGCCCTGAATGTCTTTTGCTATTATGTGTACATTTTGCATATGAAAGTCTAAGACGAAACTTCCTTTACTTTTTATACTGTAGTGAAAATTTTCTATTCTTCCCAAGAATATTGTCCCAAATCTGAAATTACTGGTTCAATTTCCTGATATAAACATTTACAATTAGAAGCTAGATAGTACTGGCAGGGTCTGCACATCAGAACTTAAATATATCACAGCAGCAAAAAGACCAAGGGAAACAAAACGACAAATGTATTTATCAGAAAGCAAGCAATGCTGACTGCTTGTTAGAAACCCGTCTAGCTATCTTAGGTCGTCAGAACTTCAGCCAACATAATGACATTCAAAAGAAAAGAACATAAGAGATAGCATCAATTCAATTAAACCCTAGCCACAGGAGGATTCAAGAAAGGAAGTTGTTTCCTTGGCAGACATTAATGCTGCCCCCAGAAGTACTTCTCCAGCAGCCAAGCAGATGATCAGGGTTATCAAGTGGATGTTCAAAGGAAGAAGGAGGCCCTGAACTCCACCAATCCTCCCCAGTCCTCCCCAGCCCTCCCCAACAGGTTTTCTCCATCATTGACTCTCCCCTGCTTTTCTTCATTAACTCCTTATTCATTCCCTGCCAGAATGTTGCTTCTGAACTTCACCAGGCCTTAACCAGCCTCCATCCCCAAGTCAACCAGCTCTCCGCTTTACCTAAAATGTGCTTCTCAACCTTTTAGAACCTTGTCCCTTTTGATAAACATGGAAATTTTTAAAGCTTCCTCTTCTCATCCCACTTGGATTCTGAGACAGTTGGAATCATTTAGAATCTTTTTGGCTGCTGGAAACACATAGAAGATAAAGGCTAAATTTTACACTGCAGTTAAGACTTTGTCAATCCTTTTAAGCAATTGTTTTCATTTTCAAAATACAGAATGTTAGTAAATTATGAAAATCAATTTTTCATCTTCATTCAACCTGAAGTGATGATTCCCCCTCTCAAGATTCCCCCTTCCCAAGAACATTGCATACACACACATACACACACACACCCCTCCACTGACCTAAAGCCACACACCTGCCATGACTGGGCAGGCTGTCTCCCAGTATTAACAGAGGAAGAGGAGGGAGGCAGCAACTTTCAGGTAGCACTGATTCTTGGACACACTCTGTCCTGGGTCGAACCCCACTGGCAGCAGGAATTCTGAATGTATTGGGGACCCCTCCTTAGGCTTCGTTAAGCCTCAAACACAGTACAGCTCACCCAGCATTGCTGAAGACCGAAGATTCAGAAAGAAAACCTACACACAACACTGAGGTCTTAATCATAGCAAAATGTGATAAACCATGTTGTGAAAAACTTTTATACATTGAAGCCATGACCATTTTGTGTCTATCTTACTCTAGCACAAAAATTGGGGGATGTTAAAAGATAGTTGTGTGGAAACTGTAAGGTTCTGTCTGTCGCGTTACTCTCTGTGGAAATGAGAGGGGTCTCCCATTTACACTAAGCAAAGTTCCATTGGTCAGTTTTAATGATGTCTTGAAGCACAATTTAGCTGAGCACTGAGTAGCCATATGCTTTCTCAGTACAAGTGTGTCTGCCTTCAATATGTAGGGTTGATCAAGCTATTACTTAATTGCAAATATCCCTTGTATGAGATTAACTTAAAAAATTTTGCTATGTCTGATCTAAATGTTTGCATTTTGTTTAACTAAATTAATATTTGTAGATTGCAAGTTTTGTTTAAAATAACTTTATTGAGTTTTTAAGTCCTGATCTGTTCTAAGGTGCCTTTCTCACCTCCCATTGATTCAGTGATTCTGAAGTTCTTAATTTGCAAGTAAAATAAGTCTACTAGAGAGGAGGAAATCAGGCACAAAGTGACCAATTCTCATGCCCATTTGCAAAGCAAAACTATAAGGATGATGAAACCTGGGTAACTAAATTAATGGATCATTTCACTAAATCAGATTGAGGAAATATCATAAATATTAACTTGTCTCCCTAGAAGCTGATATTTTTCGCCTTAAATGACATGGTTGTGTTTTTGTAAAAGAAACTTAATCTAATATAATTATGTGCATTTAAGTGAGCAGTTCTAAGTCATGTATGACAATGCAATTGTCTGTTTCCTGAAAACAAATAAATCAGGAACACCATATCCATTTCAAGCTACCATTAAAGTGTAATTTCCTTTGCTCTCTTCTACTGGGATTATTTGTTTTAAAGTAAAACATTAAAAAGATGTCTATAAACAGCTAGTGTGACTATTTTTATCTGGAACTAACTAGATGGTTCTGAACTGACTGGACCAAGTCTACCAAACTGACTGTATACAGATTTTGGACTGAAATATAAAAATTATCTTTTTGCAGTGTTACTGAAGAAGTCTTTGGTATTTTGGGAAGGGGGGAGATTTGCATATGCTCCTGGGGTTTTTGTGAGAAATATTAATTTGAAATTGATTATAACTCACATACCACATATTCACGTGAGTTTTGTTTTAACTATAATAAAGGGATTTGCTAAACAAAGTTAAGAAATGGGGACCAGGTGGGTGCCCAAATGCTGCAGCCTCTGGCTACTCAGAACTACCATTTTAAGCACCTACCCAGCTCTGCCTCACCAGGGAAGGGCTTCTGCTCCCAAAGGACCTTTTTTTCTTCTTCCCTAAAAAAAATCCCATTTTTTCAATTTCACTACCAATTTTGCACTAAGTTCCAAGGGTTAATCCCAGTGGAATTACTTTCAAGGAGATAAATTTTCAAGAGATAAAACTCTGGAATACAAAGCAACAAAGCCCAACAGAGATGTTTTAGAGAGGAGGAAGAATTAGGGAGTGTTATCCTGGAGGGAGGAAGAGGCTTCCCACTATGGCTGTAAAGAGATCAAATAGGTATGTGCCTGTTCTATCAACTTCTAGATGAGGGAAAAGAAAATTGTGTATAGTATATGCTTGCTTGACCAACTTAAAAATGTTAAACCGCTTCCAAACATTTTTGGAAATACTTTAGCAGTACTTCCCACTCCCACCATTTAAAACAAAATATACTTACAACAGTCATTCTGTCCTAACCATTCATGAAAATGGGCTGCCAGATCTTGAAGTAACAACTTTTATCAGTCTAGATTCAACTGCTTCGAGAATCTGGTACAAGTAAAAAGTGTTTCTTTGAAAAAATTTAAATTTTATCTTACACAGCTTTGAGATTTGAAAACAAAATAGAAATCTAAAAATGTTTTTAAAACAAAAATAGGCCGAGCACAGTGGCTCACGCCTGTAATCCCAGCGCTTTGGGAGGACAAGGTAGTTGGATCCCGTGAGGTCAGGAGTTCGAGACTAGCCTGACCAATATGGTGAAACCCCGCCTCTACTAAAAACACAAAAATTAGCCAGGCATGGTGGTGTGTGCCTATAGTCCCAACTACTCAAGAGGCTGGACATGAGAATTGCTTGAACCCAAGAGGCAGAGGTTGCAGTGAGCCAAGACTGCAGAGATCATGCCACTGCGTGATTTGTTTTTGAAATGTAGCAGAAATCTGCTATATTTCTGTGTAGGTACAGCCTAGGTATCATAATGGAGGAGTGAATACCTCAAACACTGGCGTGAGATTACGAGCACTTAAATAGTAGCTCTACCAGTAGATAGCTTTATGATCTTCAGCAAGTCACTGATTTCTTAGTGCACTGGTTTTCCCATGTAAAATTGAGATAATACTGACTACAGGCGTTTCTGTTTTTGAAATGTAGCAGATACATTACGTGCAAACTATCGATTTAGGCACTGCCCTGGAACCACAGCACCACAAAACTGGTGAATGGCAAAACTTTCCTGTTCAAATAAATAGGAAGGTCAAAGGTACATTGAAATGATATATTACTCTTTGCCTAGTCACATGATTTACTTCATTTCTGTTACCATGTTGGCGACTATTTTAAGTCCAGTATGCTCTAGGATAGATATCAGGGTTCTAGGGTTTCCATACAGTGTCACAACACCTGCACCTACTTTTAGAACTTTTCACCTGTATGCTTTTTTAGGTTTGTTTTTGTTTTGTTTGTTTGTTTTGTTTGATTGTTTTTGGAGACAGTCTCTCTCTGTCACCCAGGCTGGAGTGTGGTGGTGCAATCTCAGTTCACTGCAACCTCTACCTCCCAGGTTCAAGTAATTCTCATGTCTCGGCTTCCTGAGTAGCTGGGATTACAGGTGTACACCACCATGCCGGGCTAATTTTTTGTGTTTTAGCAAAGATGAGGTTTCACCATGTTGCCCAGGCTGGTCTCAAACTCCTGAGTTCAGAGGATCCACCCGCCTTGGCCTCTAAAAGTGCTAAGATTTACAGGCATGAGCCACCGTGCCCAGCTGCTTTTTTTATCTTTGGTGACACTCATCCGTTTCCATTACTTGCTGCTTCTTCCTTCTCTGTTCCTTTGCCTGCATCACTGTGACTTACTTCCTGTATCACCAATCCCTATCCATTCCTGTGCCCCCCAAGTAACTAGGTACTTACACCCTACCCTTGCTGCAGCTCAGGGTGCCACTCACCCTCACATAAGCCATGACGACATCACACCATGCACACCCCCAACACACAGATGCTTTTCAGAAGTGCTGGCGCTCCTCATCTGAGTCCTTGGCCAATGCTGCAATGCCCCGTTCCACCCCCCTTACCAGAAATCCCTCTGCTTGCTTGGTGGGAGAGGAGGCAAACCCCACTCCAGGATGGGAACTCCTTGATCTTTTTTTTTTTTTTTTTTTTGAGACAGGCTGGGGTGCAGTGGCGCGATCCCAGCTCACTGCAACCTCAACCTTTTGGGTTCAAGCAATTATCCTGCCTCAGCCTCCCTAGTAGCTGGGATGACAGGTGTTTGCCACCATGCCTGGCTAATTTTGGGGTTTTATTTTTTGTTGTTGTTGTTGTTTTATTTTTCCGAGATAGAGTTTTGCTCTTGTTGCCCAGGCTGGAGTACAATGATGCGATCTCAGCTCACTGCAACTTCCACCTCTTGGGTTCAAGCAATTGTCCTGCCTCAACCTCCTGAGTAGCTGGTATTACAGGCATGCAACACCATGCCCATCTAATTTTTGCATTTTTAGTAGAGACAGGGTTTCACCACGTTGGCCAGGTTGGTCTCAAACTCCTGATCTCAGGTCATCCACCCTCCCGGCCTCCCAAAGTGTTGAGATTACAGGTGTAAGCCACCACACCCAGCCTAATTTTTGTATTTTCAATAGAGATGGGTTTTACCATGTTGGTAAGACTGGTCTTGAACTCCTGACCTCAGGTGATCCACCCATCTCAGCCTCCCAAAGTGCTGGGATTACAGGCGTGAGCCACCACACCTGGCCACTCCTTGCCTTTAGGGTAAACTAATTCTTCCACTCTGGGTTCCCAAGCCCTTGGTTGTCACCTGCTGCCCTCTGCTTCCCCATATCTGCAGCATCTCACCCTTTCCCCTCATAAATATGCTTAAGCCTCTCTCCCATGTTACCAACAACTTTCCAGTACCCTCCCTTCCTCTTTATTTTACTCTATACATCATCTTGACTTTAGAAACAAACTGCATCTTATAAAATAAATTATATAAAGTACTTCCATTTCCACAGCATCCACCCACTAACCAGCACATGACAGTCAGAATCACGCCCACCCAGCACAGCACCACAGAAAAGCTGCACTAGAAATTCATCCATGACCTCTTAAAGGCTAATTCAAGGGACACCTTCAACCGGCATGCCTTTTGGCTTTTGTGTAATAGTGGACACTGCAATCACTCTTTCTTTCTCTTAAAATGTCTCATCTTTTAGAACGCCACCCCTTTCCAGTTTGTCTCTGTAAGTTATGGAGAAAAAATAAAAAAGGATTTTTCCTGAACTCTCACTCAACAATCAACACAGAAGACTTCTGTGACCTCTGGTCGCCAAGACATGTATGGGGATTTCTCCCCACTGTCAAAAGACAAGATTACAACACATTCAGTCTGAAGATCTTAATTGGTTTTTGTTTGCAATTCTAAAATTGGGCAACACCTCCTTCTATACAATTGAATGAATGTTACAGTGAGTCAAGCAGAGGAGGCTGGTTTTATAAACTGAAAAGAGCTGAGAAGAGCAGAAACAGTAAACAAAATGCAGATTAGTTTCAGTTAATTTCCTCATAAAAGTTAAAGCAAAGGGAACTTCTTTAGCATGTTGGCTAAAACTGGCCTGTTTGGAAATTTAGTTATTGTCTCTATCTCTCTTGATTTCTCGAAAGGTCAAACAACTTAGTTTTGGCTTGGTGATGTCTAAGTTTAGCATGAGTGATTCCGTTGTGGTTTGGTCTGTTGGGCCTGGCAGTAGTAGTTCAATCCAAATCAATGGGCTCCTTTAAATTTCCTTTAACACCACCAACAGCCAATCAATCAGTTTTGCAGTGGACACAGCTGGGTGTCTTCTAATTAAATTCAATTCTGGGCTGGGCTTGGTGGCTAACACCTGTAATCCTATAATCCCAGCACTTTGGGAGGTGGACGTGGGCAGATCCCTTGAGCTCAGGCATTCGAAACCAGCCTGGACAACATGATGAAACCCCACCTCTACTAAAAATACAAAAATTAGCTGGGCGTGGTGGCAGGCGCCTGTAGTCCCAGCTTCTCGGGAGACTGAGGCAGGAGAATCACCTGAGCCCAGGAGGCAGAGGTTGCAGTGAGCTGAGATCATGCCACTACACTCCAGCCTGGGCTACAGAGCTGGGCCCCATCTCAAAAAAAAACAAAAAAGAAAAAAAAAATTAATTTTGAATTATCTACCTGGAAGTACCATTAGATCCCACAGATTGATGGCTCAGTCCCACCAGACTGCCCTCCACTTCAGATGCCAATCACAAGCCCCAGGTTGTTTTACCTCGGCTTCTGGCCAACTAGGGATAAATCGGGATTCCTACTCCTGGGATTGGACTCATTTGCTAGAGCAGCTCACAGAACTCAGGGAAACACATTTACTGGTTTATTATAAAGAATGTTTCAAAGGATATGGATGAAGACATGCATAGGGCAAGGTTATGAGGGAAACAGTGCAGAGCTTCTACTCCCTCCCCAGGCATGCCACCCTCCAGGAAGCTCCGAGTGTTAAAGTATCCAGGATCTCCACAAATCCAGTCCTTTTATGGTTTCATGGAGCTTCATTACATTGACAGGATGGATTAAATCACTGGCCATTGGTGATTAGCTCAACTTTCAGCCCCTCTCCCCTTCCCAGATTTAGAGGTGGGG